GTAGTCGATGGCCGCTGGCTCTTCAAGGTGAAGCGGCCTCCTGGAGAGCCGCCTGTGTTCAAGGTGCGCTACGTGGCTAGAGGTTTCAATTAGTGTGAGGGGGTGGACTTCTTTCAGACCTTCGCCCCGACCTCGAAGATGACTACTCTTCGGGTGCTGCTACACGTAGCAGCTCAGCGTGACTACGAGCTTCACTCCCTCGATTTCTCTACTGTGTTTATTCAAGGCAGTCTACATGAGCAGGTCTACCTGCGCCGCTCTCAGGGTTTCATTGGTACCTTCCCTTTTGGGGCCCAGTGGCTTCTGCAGCGCCCCGTCTACGGCCTGCGACAGGCTCCTCGTGAGTGTCATGACACGCTGCGTGCTACTCTTGCTGACTTGCAGTTCTTTCCGTCCTCTGCAGACTCCTCGCTCTTCGGTCGTGCTAGCCAGACTCCGTTCTACATCCTTGTTTTACGTAGACGACCTGGTCTTCGCCACTGCAGACAGGGACGCACTGGCCTCGGTGAAGGCAGAGCTGCTGAAGAGACACACTTGCACTGACATTGGAGAACAACGCCATTACCTTGGCTTGCAGATCTCTAGGGACAGAGCGGCATACACCATCACCCTCACTCAGTTACACTTGGTGCGCCAGGTCCTTCAGAAGTTCGGCCTTCAGTTCTCCTCTGCACAGCCCACCCCTCTGCCTGTAGACCACAGGCTCTTTGCTCCAGTTCCTCAGGAGTCGGTAGAGCCCAGTGGCCCTTACGCAGAGCTGGTGGGTTGCCTCATGTACCTGATGACTTGCACTCGCCTATATCTCGCATACCCTCACAGCATCTTGGCTCGCTTTGTGGCCACAGGTCGACACCGACCGCAGCACTGGTCTGTCGCTAAGAGGGTTTTGTGTTATCTTGCAAGTACATTTGGCATGGGATTAGTGCTTGGAGGGCGTAGGTCAGTGGTCCTCATTGGGCACACAGACGCTTCGTGGCCAGACGACGCCTAGACTCTTAGGTCCTCACAGGGCTACTGCTTTAGCCTTGGTTCAGGTGCTGTCTCGTGGAGAACTACTCGCTCCTCGTCTATTGCCCAGTCTAGCTGTGAGGCCGAGATCTACGCCGTTGCCATGGCGGCACAAGAGCTCCGCTGGCTGACCTTTTTGCTCACTGACTTTGGTGAGAGGTCTAGCTCTGCCCCAATCCTGTATGCTGAAAACAGGGCCATGATCCTCCTCTGTCAGGAGCCGCGATTTGAGGGCAGAGGGAAGCACATTCAGTTGCGGTCTTTCCACCTCCGTGAGCTACAGCAGCGCCGCCAGGCTCGCGTAGTACACTTGGCCTCCAGTGCCAACACAGCTGATATCTTGACGAAGGCGCTTGCGCCTAAAGATCATCAGCGGCACTGTGTACAGCTTGGTCTTGTTCCTGTAGCCTCTCATTTGCTAGGGCTTTGATTGTGTACAGACCTTTCTATAGATTGCCCAGACTGGCCTTGTGGCCTCTCCCAGTTGTTGGAATAGTAGTTCCGCCCTGGGCTTTCTCTTGCCTTGTCTGTACTCCTTTTGACTGGTATTTAGACCCTTGTCTCAGAGGTTGGAGGAGTAGTGACGCACTGAGCTGCTTATTATCTTGTTAGGCACTGCCCCTATGTTGTCTAAGGGGTGTGTCAAGTGTAACTTAGGTGTCTAGGCGACTATCGCCTCCGGCGCAGCGAAAGTATTTAGAAATGCTTGTGCAAATAGCTTCAAGGGCCTTGCCTCATAATCTGATCTCAAAGTGGTTGCAAGTTGTCAATATACAAAAGCATTCCACTAGTTCCAATGAGATACATAGCACACAAGAGTATACCGATTTATAGGCAAACAAGAAAGAACAAACGCGGTTCGTCACTGCCGTGTGCGCTGCGCGTAACTCGCGCGCTTCATGTCATGCCGAGTCGCACACGCAATCGCGTCTTTCTTGCTGAACATACTACTGGTTTGAATTCCGAATGCTTGTTGAACACGCCCCGCCCGAAACCCAACTTTTGCCCCACGTCGATCTGTTTCTCGCCACTTCCACTCCTATCTTCCACTCAACCACCATTCTCCTTTCTTTCCACCAATCTTCTCTCTTTCTTCTCCCCTTTCCTTACACCTTACGCTCACGCATTACCCGCTTCCTAGTTCCTTCTCGTCCCAAGTCCGGATTTCTCTCCTCGTCACCCCAAGTCACGAGTAGTCCATTGTGGGTGGCGGAACCACTCCAGCAAGGTGGTTACTGTAGAGTATACTGGTTTGTACGTTAGAGAGTACAACAATCTAGTCTATTTACCCCTGTATCCTGCTATTCTATTCAATCTCTCATTCTGATAGCCTGGACTTTCGAGAGCCGAGGGCGTACGCGCTGTAGTCGAGCCCAGTAAGGATAAGGGAATTTCCTTGCATGAATGCTGAACGTAGGTCTAGAGCAATCTTGCACGCACGTTTAGCGGGTGGCCTCTGGGTCGGATTTCAGCGGCGTTGAATGCGTCTATGTACGCTAAAGACTAATACGGTATGGCTTAGTGTGGTTAAAGCCGTTAACCCAAAACGTGCAAGATTAATAAACATGATAGGGGCAAAAAGTTGGACACGGTAGCGCGCAGGGGCGTAGGGCAGTGGTGCGAGGTGGCGAGTGGTTTTCGCCAACGAGCGAGCGTCGCAACACCATGCGCGACAAAAACACTCTTGACGAATACGCAAAACACCGCCAATATAAAAGGACAAAAGGGGAGGGTGGGACGGAAAAGGGAGAGGGGCGCGCTAGGCGCGGGAAGTTGGTTGGGGGGGGTGGGGGGGGAGGAGGGAGAGAGTGGGAGTGTAGGAGGGGTGATGAACAACGAACAATAGGAAGGTACACGTAAGGACCAGGGCTGTCGATTGGTTTGGGACCAATACTTGAGTGGCTGAGGTCCCCCGAAAACAGCCCTGAAATTTCCGGAAAGCGACCAAACTGAGCCCTGAAGCGTACGGGCTGGGGTCCAAACCAGAACTTAAAATCAGGGCTGCGCCGGAGTCTGTACTTTGCTGGAAAGAAAAAAAAAAACTTCGTAATCGTACATCAGGTTAGGCAAGATGCTGAGTGAGTGGGGAGGCCAGCCTATTTTAGCAGGAGAATTTGTGTGCCAAATGTGTTAGTAGTGCACATTTCTCAGTTATTCATAGGTGTCACGGACTGAGCCAGTTTCTGGGATGCGGGAGTGTGTGAGAGGGGCTTGTGACTCGCTTTGGAGACGGCAAAAAAAAAAACAAAAAACAAAACAAAACAAAACAAAACGGTGGAGATGGGGGAGGGGGAAGTGGGGGTGTGGGAGGAGGGGATGTTGAGTGGAGGCTTGTCGAATTCTCTGGGGGTGCGAGGGGGTTGGGAGGAATGTCTGTGGGTGTGGGGAACTTCATCAATTTTCCTATGTTTGGTTGGGGTGTGGGAAGAATGTCTCTGGTTTGGAGGACTTAGAGAGGAATTTTCTGGCTGGGGGGATTCTCTGGGGGTGCGAGGGGTGTGGGAGGAATGTCTCTGGGTGTGAGGGACTTCGAGGATTTTTCTGAGTTCGGTTGGGACGTGGGAGGGATGTCTCTGGTTTGGAGGACTTCGCCAAATTATACTAGCCGAAGGGGAAGGTGGGGTGGTGTGGGTGGGCAAGGAAGGTATGCCTAGGTCAGGGTATGTCAAGACTCTGTTACGGAAAATCAGGGAAAGGCCTCAACTCCGCCTTGAACAAATCCGGGAAAGGGCCCAACGAAACCCTTAACCATCACGGGCTAGTCCCGAATCAAACCCGTAAAAGTCGGACCCTGACGGACGGCTTACCCGGAATGTTCAGGGCATTAAGGGCATTTGCCCTTGAATCGACAGGCCTGGTAAGGACGTGATGCTTTTGGCGAGATTTGGGCCGTGCAACTTGACCCTACTGCGCAACTCGTATGGGTAACTTGACTTGGCAATTTTCGCCAAACAACTTTGGGGTGGGGTGGCACACGCATATCAACTGTTGTAAAGAACATTCGTGTTTTCACGCCGCTCGCACGAAAAATGCAAATCGAAACGCGAAATTAGATTTGGTGCGGGGAATCTAGTAACAAACAATTCGCTATCGTTTCAGGCACTTCGCAAACTGTGATTCCTGCGCTGCGCAACTTGACCCAGTTTTTGCAGAAGTACCACGCCCTTAGGCGTGGAGGCGCTGGGCTGGGTTGCACTTCAATAGTCCCAAAATGTATGAGCGCATGTTTCAAGTGTCTTTCCGCTCAAACGCCTGGTGTATCGGGGGCAGGGGCGGAATTGGCTGGGGGTGGCGCACGCCTGTCACATGTTTCCTGTCTTTTTGGTGCGCGATCTTAGTTTCCCCTCTCGTTTTGCGGAACTGGGTTACCAGAAGGGCAGTTTCAAGATTAATAGACTTGAAACAAAATTTCTGCAATTTGGGTCAACGGCTTTAAGGGTCCGGTTTCTTACAACGTTTCCAGGCCTCGGTGACTGCATTCCAGTGTGACACAGCAGCAGCAACCAATTCGCTTCAAGAATCAGTTTGGCATCCACGTGGCGATAGTCGATGAGCTCTCTGGTACGGACATCCGTTAAAGCCAGATATCCACGTCAACAGTCACATTTGTCAACGCTGACTGGATATGTGCTCCCATGGATTGTGCCAGATGGCATTCTGCTCACTCCGAGGGTCTCGCCGATGTCCCTCAAACAGGCCAGATGCATTCATTGCTCCAATCCTTCACAACCCGCGACTCGCGCCAACCCTGTCCGTTCTCACTTAGCAACCCAACCACTCCCCCATCTCCGCGCCACACATTATTGATCACGTCGCCGTTGAGAGTTGACCAACCTGGGCCCGCCAAGTCAGAACAGCTACCAGCATCTCTTGCTCCCACGATTGGTTGCGATGCGATTCAGTTGGTTTGGGGGTGTCTGCGCTGCGTTGGTGGTTCGCAGCTTTGGTCTTATCTCCCCAGTCTTCAGTCTCCAAGTCTATGCTTCTTTGTCTCTCTCCCTCAACTCTGCTCACCAAGAGGAGAGGAGACCACCATACACCGGCACATTTGCGTGCCTAGCTTCGGGTCCTGAGTTTATTTCAGCAGACTCTTAAACCGCAGATATGGCGGCCCTCGTGACTGTATCCTCTGCTGCAGTCAGCGCCACAGGGCTGACGTCTATCGGAAGCGGGTGAGTTCTCTGCCCTCGCTCCTCCGAGCTTTCCCTTGCTTCCATTCAGCATTCTCGCAAACCATTCCCTAGTTGTGATGCCATTCACTTCAACCACCACGCTCTATAAACATGCCCTTCGCCATGTCCCTCCCACAGTGCGGCCGCCAATCACACCGAGTCGGCCCTCACCCTCCGCTCCGTCTCCTTCTCCGGTCTCCGCAAAGACCACTCTCTCTGCGCCTCTGCCGCGTCCTCCTTTGCGCACGCCGCCAACGCCGCCGCCACCAACAAGCGCAATGCGCCCGGGCAGAAGCGCGCAGCAGGCACGCGCGCAGCCGCGGCGGAGCCCGTGGTGGCGTCCGCGGCGTACGTTGCGCCGAAGAAGATCCTCATGATGGGCGGCTCGCGCTTCATCGGGCTGTACCTCGCGCGCGCGCTCGTGAAAGCGGGGCACGAGGTGACGCTCTTCACGCGCGGCAAGGCGCCCATCGCGCAGCAGATCCCGGGGGAGACCGACGCGGAGTTCGCGGAGTACTCCGCCAAGGTGAAGCACATCAAGGGCGACCGCAAGGACTTCGACGGCGTGCGGAGACTGCTGCGCGGATCGGGCTTCCAGGTGGTGTACGACATCAACGGCCGCGAGGGCGCGGAGGTGGAGCCCATCCTCGACGCGCTGCCGCGCCTCGAACAGTGAGTGGCCATGACCGAATCGCCGTGCGCCACACCATTGGCGCCGTGCGCCATGCGCCATGCGCCGTGAGGCAATATCCATGTCGTATTGCTGTTCCCTCTGAGTAGTGCCGCCAAGGTCTCTTCCTTTTGTCGTCGAATGTCAGTCTCCATCGCGTCTTGAACGAGCCGTAACGCCATGTCTCTCTACCGAGCCGCACGGCACGCTGCACGAAGGAGCCCACAGTTAGTTCCATTGCCCTGGCTCCCGTGTAGGACTGCTGACTGATCCTCCCCTCTCTCTTCACTTCTGTTCTCTCCCGCGACCCCCCACCACCCATGTTCGATCCGTTAGGTACATCTTCTGCTCCTCCGCTGGAGTCTACCTCAAGTCCGACGTGCTTCCGCATCGCGAGGTAACCGTTTCCCCTTCGAGCACGGTTCATTCATCCGCTCAGCCTTCCCCCGTTAGTTCACATCTTCTAGCGCCTCCTCCATTCATCCTCGTTCACTTGCGCTTCCCATTTCCCCCTTCCGCTCAAGCTTCCTCCGTTTTTCCGCTGTCCCCCGCCTCTACGCCGTCCCCAATCTCCCCCCTTCCTCTCGCCACTGTGCGCCGACCTTTCCCCCCACTCCCCTCAACTCACTCCACCTACCATTCTCCCCACCCGCTCCGCCGCATTCCCCTCCCGCCCTTCCCCCTTCTCCCTTCCCCCTTTCCCCCCTCCCCTTCCCAGGAGGACGCCGTGGACCCCAAGTCGCGCCACAAGGGCAAGCTGGACACGGAGGCGCTTCTGCAGGCGCGCGGCGCGCCGTGGACGTCGATCCGGCCCGTGTACATCTACGGGCCGCTCAACTACAACCCCGTGGAGGAGTGGTTCTTCCACCGCCTCAAGGCCGGCCGCCCCGTGCCCGTGCCCAACTCCGGCACGCAGGTCACGCAGCTCGGCCACGTCAAGGTGAGGGGGGAAGGGAAGCCGGGGGATGCGGGGACACGCGGAGTGGGAGGGGGAGCGCGGGCTGGGAGGGGAAATGGGGGGGTGTGGGAACAGAGGAGATGTGGGGCCGTTATGGAGGGTGGGGATAGGAGGGGAGTGGAGAATGGGGAACAAAAGGTGGAAATCGTTTTTACTCCACGCTGTCTCCACATAGACAGACACATACACAGACTCGTCGCCAGACTTAACGCACCATATGCGGCCCGTATCTCTCGTCCGGCCCCGTCCATCTCTCATTCCCCATACAACTCACTAGAACCCTTTCATGCACCCCCAAGCAATCACCGTCCCACGTGCAGGCGCTCCCAAATAACACCCCCACTGTCCGTACCATAACCCATCTCCGTGCTCACCACTGATTGCCACGCTTCTCTGCGCCCCCCCTCCCCACCCCACAACGCCTTCCCTTCCAGGACCTGGCTCGGGCGTTCGAGCTGGTGCTGGCCAACCCGCTGGCCATCGGCGAGGTCTTCAACATCTCGGGGCCGCGCTACGTAACCTTTGATGGCATCGCCAACGCGTGCGCGGAGGCCATGGGCGCGCCCAAGCCCACGCTCGTGCACTACAACCCCAAGGACTTCGACTTCGGCAAGAAGAAGGCGTTCCCGCTGCGCGACCAGCACTTCTTCGCCAGCAACGACAAGGCGGAGGACCTGCTCGGGTGGAAGCCGCAGTTCGACCTCGTCGACGGGCTCCGCGACTCGTACCAGCTCGACTTTGGCCGTGGCACGTTCCGCAAGGCCGCGGATTTCTCTGTGGATGACATGATTCTGGCGAAAGCGGGGGTCGGCTCTTCCTCTTCCTCCCCTTCCTCCTCTGCTGCGGTCAGCGCCCCTGTGGCCGCCGTGGCGCAGGCGTCTGGAGCGGGCTTTAGCGTGCAGCAGCTGCAGACGATGCCTCTGCCTCGGCTCCACGCCCTGGCCCGCGCCCGTGGCATCCACCCCACCTCCCGCCCCGACCTCATCCGCCGCCTTGCTGCTTCTGGCGTCGCACCCGCCGCCGCTGCTGGAACAGCTACTGCAGCAGTAGCTGGGGGAGCGGGAGTGGGGGGTGGGAGTGGGCTGAGCGTGGCTGAGCTGCAGGGGAAGAGCATTGGTGAGCTGAGGGCTCTGGCTCGGGCCAGGGGCGTGAGGGGCGACACCAAGGCTGAGCTGGTCAAGCTGCTCAGCTCCGGTGCCGCTGCTGCTGCTCCTGCTGCTGCTGCTGCTGCTGCCAGGTAGGACGAAAGCGATGCTTCCCCCATCCTCGACTTCCTGCTGTCCCAACCCAATCATTTCCTCGGTACACCCCGTTTCCATCTACCTTGAAGTATGTAGTGCCTGGTGTGCCACCCCCTACTGGCCCCCTTTAGCAACAGCCCATAAACACTCAGTCCTCCGAACTCCCTCTCTCCACCCCCTCCCTTCCACTCTCCCCTCCCTCCTCCCCCCCACCTGTGGTTCTGCCTGTCACAACCAGCTCTGCTGCCTCGTGGAGCGCCCCAGCAGCGCCTGCGGCAAGCAGCAACGGGGCGGGGGCGGGAGCGTCAGCGCTGTCGGAGAAGCAGCTGCTGGCCAAGTCGGTGGGCGAGCTGCGCGCGCTGGCTGCACGCCGAGGCATCCGCGGCGGCAACAAGGCCGAGCTCGTTAAGGCACTCGTGGCTGCTAGCAAGTAGTCGCTGCTGCTGCTGCTGCTGCTGGTAGCTAGTCGTGGTGTGATATGGAAGTACTTCGAGAGGCAGTATTGATTTTACCTGTACCCTGCATGCTTTTATTTTCCCCAGGTTAGGATTTCTGCTGAGCCAGAACCGCTTGTCCCAAACCGATGTTGCACTAAAATTTGTGCAGGGTGTTTATTGCCTCATGGTGTATGTATTAGACTAAATATGAAAGATAGTTGCATCGTAAGGTGAAACAGTGTGGCTTGGAGCATAGACATGGTGTTTTGGCCAAATGCTGTGTAAAAATGTTCAGCTGTTTTGATCTTGCTCACACTGAACCCTGGAGAGGCTCGATCTTTATCATGCTCTACCACCCAATTATATTACAAAACGGTTGTGCAATGCACCCAGTGAGTGAATGAGCAAGACCTTGCACCAAAAGGGCAAGCATTCCAAGACTTTTCAAAGGATAAAAAAAGTTAGAGAAGCCGGAAAAGTGTGACTACGGGAAAATGTCGAGGTATACATGTCAAACATATCAGAAATTGAAGTGTTAATGATACAGAGAGAGTACACACAATATAGCTAAGTGTTGTACCCTCTAAGAGGCTACCCTATACAGTCTATACAAACATAACACATAGACATGTTTGACACACCCCCTAGACTGCATAGGGGAAAGTCCTAAACAAACAGCTCAGGGCGGCACTACTAGTCCAACCTCTGAGACAAGGGTCTGAGTGACCAGTCAGAAGGAGTACAGACAAGGCAAGCACAAGAGCAGGGCGGTACTACTAGTCCAGCCACTGGGAGAGGACACAAGTCCAGTCTGAGTATACATATAAAGGACAGTACAAAGTCAAGGTCCTAGCAAGTGAGAGGCTACGGGAACTAGACCAACCTGTACACAGTGCCGCTGATGATCTTTAGGCGCAAGTGCCTTCGTAAAGATATCAGCCGTGTTGGCACCTGAGGCCAAGTGTACTACGCGAGCCTGACGTCGCTGCTGTAGCTCACGCAGGAGGAAGTACCGCAGCTGAATGTGCTTCGCTCTGCCCTCGAGTCGAGGCTCCTGACACAGGAGGATCATGGCCCTGTTGTCAGCGAACAGGACCGGGGCAGAGCTAGGCCGCTCACCTAAGTCAGTGAGCAAGAAGGTCAGCCAGCGGAGCTCCTGTGCCGCCATGGCACCGGCGTAGATCTCAGCCTCACAGCTGGACTGTGCAACAGACGAGGAGCGAGTAGCTCTCCACGAGACGGCACCTGAGCCAAGGCTGAAGCAGTAGCCCTGGGTAGACCGGAGAGTCTCAGCGTCGTCTGCCCACGAAGCGTCTGTGTGCCCAGTAAGGATCGCTGGCCTGCGTCCTCCTAGCACTAACCCCATGCCCGATGTACTAGCAAGATAACGCAGAACCCTCTTAGCGGCAGACCAGTGCTGCGGTCGGTGTCTGCCTGTGGCCACAAAGCGAGCCAGGATGCTGAGAGGGTATGCAAGATCTGGGCGAGTGCAAGTCATCAGGTACATGAGGCAACCCACCAGCTCTGCGTAGGGGCCGCTGGGCTCTACCAACTCCTCAGACACTGGAGCGGAGAGCCTGTGGTCTACAGGCAGAGGGGTGGGCTGTGCAGAGGAGAACTGAAGGCTGAACCTCTGAAGGACCTGGCGCACCAAGTGTGACTGAGTCAGGGTGATGGTGCGCGCAGCTCTGTCCCTGGAGATCTGCAAGCCAAGGTAACGGAGCAGTTCTCCAAGGCCAGTGTAGGTGTGTCTCTTCAGCAGCTCTGCCTTCACGGAGGCCAGCGCGTCCCTGTCTGCTGTGGCAAAGACCAGGTCGTCGACGTAAACGAGGATGTAGAACGGAGTCTGGCCAGCACGAACGAAGAGTGAAGGGTCTGCAGAAGTCGGAAAGAACTGCAGGTCAGCAAGCGTAGCACGGAGAGTGTCGTGCCACTCACGGGGAGCCTGGCGCAGGCCGTAGACGGGGCGCCGCAGGAGCCACTGGGTCCCAGGAGGGAAGGTGCCAGTAAAGCCCGGAGGACGGCGCAGGTAGACCTGCTCGTGTAGACTGCCCTGAAGGAAGGCAGTGGAGAAGTCAAGTGAGTGAAGCTCGTAGTCACGCTGAGCAGCTAGGTGTAACAGAACCCGAAGAGTAGTCATCTTCGGGGTCGGAGCGAAAGTCTGGAAGAAGTCCACCCCCTCGCGCTGACTGAAGCCTCTAGCCACATAGCGCGCCTTGAAGACAGGCGGCTCTCCAGGAGGGCGCTTCACCTTGAAGAGCCAGCGGCCATCGACTACGTTCACCCCAGGCGGGGGAACTGCGTCGACGAAGGTGCCGGTGGATCTCCAAGATGCCATCTCCTGCTCCATGGCAGCTATCCACTGCGAGGCCCAGGGTCCCGAGGTCGCCTCAGCGTAAGTGCGAGGGGTCGGGATGTCGAAAGCGTCTGGGTCACCCTCAGGGACTAGTAGCATGGAACAGAGATGGGGAGCAGCCTCGGAGAGGAAAGCAAGCTCGAACTGGCGGTCCTCCAGGACGTCACTGCCAAGGGCAGGAGCACCCCCGACAGACGGAGGACAGGCAGGGTCAGAGACCAGAGCGGTGGCGTAGTCAAGGCGGCGGGTAGAGGCGAAGTCAGCGACAGCAGCGACAAGAGCGTCAAGGCACGAGACCGGAACAGACGGGTCGGTAACGAGGGAGGCAAGGACCCGAGGAACGAGAGGACGAGCGGCACGAAGGTAGTCGGACAACGGGGGGGGCGCAACAACAAGGGAGGACGGAGGAGGCGACGGCAGAAGGGGAGGACGAGACGCGTGTGAACGAAGCAACATAGGGTGGGAGCGCAAGACAGGCGAGGCAGGACGAGCACGGGAGGGACGGTGAGACCAGACGTGCAACGGAGGAGTCGGGTCAGGAGACAGGGGAGGGGACACAGGAGGGGAACGAGGGGGGAGACGGGCCGGGGACGAGTCCGGCGGAGGGAAAACAGGGCCGTAGACAGGAAGAGGAGGAGACGGGCGGGGAGGAACCGACGCAGGGTCGGGGGACGGAAGGCCGAGCAGGCGAAGGGCGGACACCGGTGGGAACTGCTGCTGCGGCGGCACAAAGGCGCCACCTGGACCGCAAGCTGCTCCTCGGCTACCACCGGCACTCTCCACACCCGCACCCCCAGAGGGACCACCCCCAGGGCGACCGGGACGAGCACCCCCAGAGTCAGCGAACGGGGGCGGCGACGGCGGCGGCGGCGGCGGCAGCGGCGACGGCGACGGCTGCAGCGGCGGCAGGGGCGGCGGAGGAGGGGACTGGGGAGGGGACACCTGGGGAGGGGCGGCCGGCGAGGACTGCACCGGAGGGCCACCAGAGTCAGAAGACTCCTCAACCGGGTCCACGGACGGAAGGGGGGTGACGTGGGAGACACCAGAGGGGGCGGGACGGGGAGGAGGAGGAGGAGGGGCAGGGACTACCGGGGAAGGGGTGACCAGGAACAGGGGGGGGGTAACCGGGGGACCACGGTGGGGGAAGCGGCGGTAGTAGGAGACGGACTCGTCAAAGGTGACGTCACGAGAGTGAAAGAAGCGGTGAGACGGTGGGTGGTAAAAGTGCCAGTCGGACGCGTCAAGGGGAAAACCGAGGAAGACGCAGGGAAGGGTGCGGGCAGTGAGCTTGTCCGTGCCGGAGGCACGGACGTGAGCAAGGCAGCCCCAGACGTGGAACGCAGACGCGTCACCAGGGGACCCAGTCCAAAGACGGGTCGGCGAAACCTGCGGCTGCTGAGGGTGCGGCCACAGGTTAAGCTGGTGAGAAGCGTAGCGCACAGCGAACGGCCTCAGAAAATGGGGTGCACCGGCATGGATCATGGAGGTGCGAGCGACCTCCATGACCAAACCGATGCGTCGCTCAGCGACCCCATTCTGCTGTGGGGAGTCCGGTAGGGTGAACGTCTGGGTGATGCCCTCCGCACGACAAAAGCGACCAAGGACACCTGAGGCAAACTCGCCACCACGGTCTGAGTGAAGACGCAAGACAGGGAGACCGCGGTGGACACGCGCAGAGACAAGCCAGGGGATGAGAGCGCCAGGCACGTCGGCCTTGCGCTCCAGGGGAAAGACTGTGGTGTAACGAGTGAAGTCGTCGACAAGCACAAGGAAGTAGCGCTCTCGACGCGGCCCAGGGACGGGGGCGGGGCCCCAGACGTCCAGGTGCAGGGTCTGCAGCGGCGCGGCGGTAGGGGGAAACGAGGAGGAGTGAGGGGCACGGCGAAGCCGACCCTCGACACAAGGCGTGCAAGGTGGGGCTGGGGAGGAGGGAAACGCGGGGAGGGAACCTGGGAGACCAAGGACGAGACCGTGCTGAGACATGTGACGCAGACGCGGGAGCGCAGGGTGACCTAGGCGGTGGTGCCACAGGAGGGTCGGGTGAGTGAGGGAGCGACAGGAGCAGGCAGCAGCAACCTGGGTAGACACAGCCACCTGAGGGGGCGCTCCAGCCGGGGGGGGCACGGTGTCCAGAGTGAACAGGCCGGACACCGGGTCCCGGGGGAACGTGGACAGGGGGGCACCAGTGGCGGCCTCGGTACAGACAGCATACCGCTCGTGACCAGGGAACGTAGTGGTGACGCCAAGGTCCTGGAGGCAGCCGACACCAACTAGGTTCCTGGAGAACGAAGGGATATGCAGACCTGTAAGAGAGCCCGAAGGAACCGCCGGACAGGGAAGGGTGGTGGAACTGCGGGCGACTACCGGACCGCCGGAGGGGTCAGCAAGAGAAACGGCAGCAGGAACAGGAAGCGGCGTCAGGGTGGTGGAGTCGCGGAAGAAACACCGAGAGGCGCCAGAGTCCAAGGTGAAGGAAAGCGAAGCCGAGGGGTCTGGCGACGGAACGACGGCAGAAGCACCAAGACTACACAAAGCAGGGGATCCTACGCCTGACGCAGCAGGGGAGGCGAAGCTAGGCACACCTACACTAGGCAACAGTGAGTAATAAGTCGGAAGCACACTAGAGTCATCAGCATACATCACATGCAGAGCAGAAACAATGGCATCCATGTCCATATCAAAGATCTGAATCTTACGACTAAGCAAACTGTGCCAGTCCGGGAGGTCTGGCGACGGGCCGAAACGCTGACGAAAGAGGTCGTCCAGGCGACGAAAGCAGCGGGGAGTGGAGTGACCGATCTTACCGCAAACGAAGCCGCGGCGAGGACCGGTCTGGATCTGGTACTGACAACGCCCGCCGGCAG